AGTGGTGGGCACCACATATGACCTGCAGGCTCTTTTCTCTTTTAATGCATCACACATTTCCTCGATGTTATTAATTATAATAAAAGTTCAAACGTGTGTTTCCCTGAATAGAAGTCCACGTTGTTAGCTAGTCATAGGTAAAGCTTGGTAGAAAGCCAGGGCCTTTTCATAGTCTCGATGATTTTTAACAGTTATTTTAAAATAACAGAATGATGAACATATGTGGTATTCTCCCTCTGTTCAGAGAAAGTGGCCACTGTAAATGGTTGCAACTAACAGGAAAAGGAGTTTTATTGCTTACCTATGCCTTTCATTAATTCCTGTCCTTCTTGTTTCTACCCACATGCTTTCTGAGTAGACCAGTCCTCTAAGCAGAGCTGCTCCATGAATCTGTGTACTACGACAGTACCATGAGTCCTTCCTCTCATAAAAGAGCAAATGTGTGAAAAAGGAAAGTATCACTAGGTCCAGGTCATTTTTGTGTTATTTTATATATCATAAGGAGCCAGGTCTCTATAGGATGGTTTAGCTCAGGGTATCCCAACCTTGACATTTTAGGCAAGTTCACTCTCCGGTACACCTTGAAGGCTGCTTGGCAGTGTCCTGACCTCTATATACCAGATTCCTGCATCATCCCTTACATCTTAGTTGTGACAGCCAAAAGTATCTTCTGAGGTTACCTAAAACTTCCTGGGTCAGGGCTGGGGTGGAAGGCAAAAATCACCCTTGGTTTGAGTCTATTGTACTGATTTTATCAGAAAATAACTCCTTCCTCCTGCTGCAGGACTGATAGCTTCATTGTAGCTGTGGACTCTCAGCTCTTTGCCGTTCATGATTTTTTATTGAGGAAAATTTATTCAAATATGCTTAAAGAACCAGGACATCTACTTTACTGGTTGCCGTGTGTTTACCTGATTGTTCTTCCTCTACTCCCTGCTCTGATTCTTGCATTTAGTTACTAGGTTTGCCACCACTTAATTTTCTAAGGACAGTGTTAGCCATATTCCTAGGCCACTGAGTCGTAAATACAAAGTCAAAGACCAGTTTAGCCCTAGATGCGAGTGTGTGGATTTCACGTGGAACCTGGATTCTAGTGTTCTTTTCACACCTTCTAACTTGGAACAGCTACATTAGCTTTTCTGTGTAAGATTTTTCATCTAAGAAATGAAGGAAATAAGCTATAGTGTCTGTAAACTTGCCCTACTTCTAAGAATCACAGTGGTACCAGTTTCTATTGTTTGCTTGAGCTGTTCCCCTTTACTGATCACATATCCTCTAGGCTGATGACATTCAGAATGTGTGCTGTAGAGTCCCTAGTGGGTCATGGACCATGATGCAGGTCTATAACATTATAGGTGCAGAGAACAAATAAAAGAAACTTTTAACATAATTCAATAGAGTATTCTATGCATATGTTATGGAAAAGGTGAGCTTATATTCTGTGAAGACTTCAATTTTTAAGAATTTATTTTGTAAAGCATTGATTTGCATTGAATTAGAAAAAGGAAAACAAAACAAACATCTTTCATTGGAGGTAATCTAAGAAGCACTCTCTGTATATATGATGGAAAATTTTCTCTGCCTCTTTCTACTCTGGCCAACAGAGATATTTTATATTCTGCCTCTGTGGCTTAATTAAGAAAGAGGCAAGATATTGCTTGTTTGCCTTATTAGAAGCATGAAGTGGGTGACAAAACTTGTTATAAAGAAATCTGCCTTCTAGAAAATAAGAGGTGTTTTATTTCTGGAGTACATGCAAGTTTTTCTGTCTGTATCTGCACAGCTTGAATTAATGTCTTGCACAAGGATAACATATTTGTCTCAGAACATGAACACAAAAAGTGGTGGAAAAATGCTACCATGATCACCTTATTTCCTCAGATTTTCCATGTGTGAAATCTCCTGTAATGCTTGGCGCACCCTTGCCACAGACTCCATTGACTTTGGTGAAGAAATCAAAGATAGGTTACACTTGCTAAAGAGATTTGCGCAGATATTTTCACACCTATTCAGGCATTCAGTTCATCCACCACTTGAAAAATCCATTCTTGAAACTCAGGCATTAGGGACTCACTAGTGCACTGGACAATGAAGCAATGGAGCCTTCACTCCTGATCTGGACTGCTTCTCCATGGTTATGGTCCAGTTTTCCTCTACCTGATAAAGCATGGTGGAGGAACAAGGCATCCAACAGGCAGTGATGGGATGCAGAGGCACTGTTGGTTTCCTTCACTGTGGACTGCTTGTTCCCAGACTTTATCCTGTGTAGACTGGAAGAATCTAAGGATCCTATGCTGCTCCTAAGGGTCCTTACACATGACCTGACATTGCTTAGGAATGGTCCCTTGGTGTGCACTTCCTCCCTGGCTCATATGGAATTTTTACTACACTTCTTCCTCCTGAGCAAAAAGGCAGGATCTTTCACTGCCCTTTAATAGAAAAAAAAAAATCATCCTTTCTTTAAGCTTTTAAATCCAGATGGTAAAAATGTATAACCTATTCAGAAAATCCTCTCAGCAGACTTGGCAGTCATTTCACATTTACTTGGACATAGCATGAATGGATTTGGTTCTCTGGTTTCCCTACCTCTATGTCTTAAAATGAGTGATTTATTACCCAAGTGAGTCTGTGTCAATGGATCGGACATGCACAGGGCACATTGACTGGAAGTGTGCTGGTAGCATAAGATTTATGCTAGCTCAGATTGTTTCATATTGGATTTCTTTGTTGAAAATTTACTGTGTTCATTGTCTGCATGGCATATGCATTTGCAGTGCGCTAAAGGCTCTTGTGGTTCAACAGTTTACCTGTGTAACACTTCATGCAAAGGAAATTAATAAGTGTACAGTGAAAGCATTTACCTAATGTGTTTCCAATCATCTGTGCATGCTAATAACTCAATTAGTAGAACAAGAGAGCAGAGTGTTACTGAGTTCTTTACAGTTATTCATAATTCTTAGGGTACTCACATCATGGCTCTCACTTTAACAAAACATCTATTGAACATTTCAAAAATCTTTCATTATTTCACTTGTGTGCATTAAGGTTGGTGCTGCAGCATACCTGAAAGGATTCATGGAGTTTTTTTCTGTGTCTCAGACAAAAAAAGCTCATGTGAACTGAAGTTGCTCTGTGCGCCAGAAGTGCACCATTGCTGCCGCGAGGCACTCTTAATTTCTGCATGGTCCCCACTGTGTATTCTTCCTTCTGTAATTATTGGATTAAGCACTTCAGATTCTTATTGATAAAGCTCTCTGCCAAGTGGACGCCTCATGATACAGTGACTCCTAAGGATGCTTCTTCCCAAAAAGTGGAAGCTGAAGTACAGAGGGTGTGATTTGTACAGACTGAATCAAGACTGAGGCCGTGTTCTTCACATTATTTCTTTGACTCATTTCTAAGAACTTAACTGGCTTGCCAATGAATAAATATGATTTTTGTTTTCATATGTTAGTAGTTTCAGATTTTTTTTTCCTTTTTAACTAGGAGTAAATAGAAGTGAACTAGGTAGTCATCACTCTTACAACTGGTTAAGAGTTGAAAAGTTTTATTTAAAAAGACAATAGCTGTTCAAGGGTCTCAGGTAGGCATAGAATTTGTAGTCAATACTGTTTTCATTCCTACATTTATCTCCCACCATGCTTTAAACTTCCCTCTTAATCTTTTTAGTGATTTTGAGTTCACTTAGTCTCCTCTGAGCTCCCCTTTTCAGGTATTGAGTTGGTTCTGATCATTTTTACCCCTTGATAAGTGTAAATGAAAGCCATGATCTTAGAAATGTTGGCAACGAAAGTTCATGTTGCACTGTGTGATGATGGCTGAGTACAGGATAAAAGCTTATTCAGAAACAAGGCTTAATTCAACCCAAGAGGGTCAGAGTGGTTGCTTATGCTCAGGAGGGAGAGCCTCAGGGACACAACAGTAGCCTGAGACCTCTGTAGCAGTTTATTTATAGCTCAAGGACATGAGAACAAAGAAATAGAAGAAAACATTTCTGTTGGAATTTTGGCCAAGGGATAGGGAGGAAGCAGGA